CAATTTTTGGTGTGAAATAGGTTAAGTCACGCACTGAATTAAAAGGAGGTATATAGAAAACAGATCTTAGATAAGCTTTAAGCAGTATTCAAATATTTTTTAAAATAATATACACAAGCCATCCATTAAAAAAAAAAGATTTAATTCTATTTTTAAATTTGCCTTTTTGCTGTAGACAAATGAAATCAAAATAGTTTGTAGTGGTTAAAAGAGGACAGTCAATACTTTGGTTCTATATTTGGAGAAAAAATTGATTTTAAAATTTGCTTGAAATAATCACGCGTTGATATCCCTCGCAGAGTGAATACAACAAATGCGAAGGAAGGAGAAAACTTGACGCAAATCCTCGTCAGGAGAAAAAAAAGCTGAGTGATAAACAAATATATATAAGAATGATTAATATAATTTCAAAGATAGAACAGGTAAGCTTTCTCTCTTTCTCATATCATGTAGAATATTTTTTTTTTCTCCCCGACTATTATCGGTAACTCTATAATACATGCATGCAATTAAGGAAACCATCAGATCACTATGCTTTGAGAATATAAAATGCAACTACAATGAATGAGTAACATGTAAAGTAACCAGAAATAGCTATAAACTTTAATGTTGCAGGCCTATATCCTTGTATCTCAATAAAGTTGCTTCATTGCAACAAGCGATTTGTGGGCGAAGACAAGAGTGAGAGGAATTAAAAATTCCATTTGATGATTTCACACAAGTCCCAATAGGCGTCATACGTTTAATCCGTTCGTAGAAAATCATGTTTCTGAGCCATAAACACAGAGGTAATCCATTTCCTCTTACCTAAGGCTCCATTTATCTTACACATAGGGCAAGATCACGGGTATTAATGGGTTTTGGGTTTGTTTGTAGTTGCATGTATAGTTTGCCGTGCTACAGACATGGTCAGAAACTGGCCGGTGGGTTTTAGTTGGAATGTCTGATAGAAGGGGAGGGGGTAAGGGACCTCCTTTTGCACAATTATCTTTTTTGCGGTTTAAGACGTAAGACCCCGACCCAAACACACGCACAAACAGAAGATTGTTATATAGAAATATAATTTTTCACCACAAAGTATGGTCTTAACAGTCCAACATTGACACTGGATTTGAAATATGAATCTAATATTTGGTCTTAGCTTCAGACTATCACAATTTCAATATAAGAAAGGAAAAAAAAAAATAATTGATTTCATAAAAGAAAGGTATGGAAATGTTCATGTAACAATTCTTTTACCACTAGATGTAATAAAATTAGCAGAAAGGCAATAACGTGTTTTATTAACTGAGTTAAGGTAACCTAAGGAGGTAATATGTCCTATAAAGAGTCTAAAAAGTTCCACACGTGTTTTGGAAACACGCGAGTAAAGCATTTGTAAAGGAAAATAATTGCTGTCATTAGTGTCTGTCTAATCTGCTTTGATTTGAAAATTTCTTGCAGAATTGAAGATTAATGCGATATGTTGAACGTTGAAGAGTACGTTAAAACGTTTATTAGTTCTTGGGGATTTGTTATGTGGAAAGAAACATGATACACAAATTTAAACATTTTTGTTGTCCTTGAAATATTTATAGTACACATATGTCGTTTCGTGTCCATTTTAGTATGTCGTTCTTACAAATGGTGAAACTCGAACCCAAACATGGTTTTGTTTTTAGAAGTAGTATATTTGGTAATGTAAAACTTTTTCCCTACTACTATTAAACCTACATATGTACTTGGAAAATTTCTCAATTCTATTGTTCATCTGCATTCTTCAGAAATGTTTTATAGAAGCACCAACACTCAATGAGAAACTGAGGGCTAACTTAAACAATAAACTACCCTTTATATTTGTTAATGCAAGATTTAAAGAATGAATTTGTTGCAGAAAAAATACACAAGAAGATTACAAGATTTTTTTCCCCTGTAAATGATGCAATCGTTAATCCCACATTAACAAATGAAAACATTTTGTTCACATTGTTGTCTGTATAAGTAAACGTAACTATGAAGTAGCTTGAAGAACCTAAAATATGGTATTATTGATATATCATCATTATACGTCATGATATGCTTCACTGATGGAAGAACCCTGTATTTAAGATTTTTTTTTCTACAGGTGGGCTTTAAAATTGGTTCTAACTAGTTTTTAATATGTTAATTGATTAATTAAGAGAAATGATTTTCATTCGAAATAGAATTTCTCTTATAAGGAAGTTCTAAAAATTTCATGGTAATTTTATGCAGTCAGAGTGATCTGTCCTTTGATTTGAAATGGAATAAACGGAATTTTAGAGCAAATGACAAAATTTAAGCTACATTAAAGTATTCCTAACATTATATTATAGACCTAGATAAAGTAATTAAAAACATTATGCATGTATTTTCACAATGTTTGAAAACTATAGTGATTTATGTCCATTTATACTTCAACTATGTTGAAAATAAACTAGAAAGATTCAATTTGTACATCTTTAAATGATATAATTTTCTCAATATCCAAAAATACTTACATGTATTATTAGTGTTTAGAGGTTCCTTAACTTGAGGAAGTTCTCAACACTAATGAAAAATGGGAAGGAAATTGGAAATATGTATCATATCAAGGTATACATTTTGAGTTTATGAAGTTCATTTCCAATATAATGTACCTATCACATTTTTGGTAGGATTCTTTTGAAGAAAATGATGTATTAGTAAACAAAAATCACTGTTATTTACTTATATTGGGAAAATACACCATACAAATAATGTATTTCTTAATATTTAATTTATCTTGGTCTAATATACACATAATGTACATATAATGTTAACTATTTCGAATTGTGTTATTTGCTGTAGATTTCCGTTTATTCCATTTTATAACAAAGGGGGCTTTGACTGAATCAACCATGGAATGAGAACTCTTAGGTGTGCAGTATTAGAACTTCCTTAATAAACAAATAACTGAACATATTAAACAAATAATCATTAATATGCAAAGGTGCCAAATGCAAGCGCCTAGATTTACTTTTAGCCATCTGATGATCTGATTAATTGGGCTCTTTGCAATAGTAATGAACATTAAACCAAAACTGAAATTCATGTCGTACGTGAGGGATAGAGATTTCGGGTTTAGTTAGGTAGTTTTCTTACAGTTGGTATGTGAAAGATTTGTTTGAAAAACATTTTCACAAATTGAAGTACTCCTAAAAAAGTATGAAAACAAAATTCTCGGTCATAATTTTGTAGAAAAAAAATTCTAAATTCAACAAGTAGTGCATGATATTCAATTATTCATTATGATCCATATACATGTACTTCTTGTTTAATGAAAAAGAGGGAAAATATCATTGATACGCAAAAAGGTCATTTGATGTTTAGTTTGACACAATTCGCGAATTCTAATCTCTCATAATAATTTTGATACAAAAGTGATACAAAACCTAAAAATGAAAAGGAAACTTAGAAAGATTAAGGTTACCATGTCTGTTTTTAATTTACTTATTCACTTTTGCCCTAAAAATGGTAATGAGGACTAATTTTTAAACTGTTTCTGCTCAGGCTACGAATTGGTGGATCAATACTTCAGAGGTTGAAAGAATTTAATGTCTCATTAATACAAAGTACGGTATTGTATTTGCTTTGCAAGTCCAATTACAAGGTTATTAATTTCGAAAGTCTCCGGGGTAAAATAAAAAAAATGGGGGAATAAAATCAATAATGTCACGATGATCGCGTACTGTAATTTGGAGACTGGTTAAGGTCACATCTTGTTTTATTTATGCATTAATTGCACGTGTTAATTCCCTGAAGCTAATTAAGTTTATGTACATAGTTCAATATTTTCACGCTACGCTTTTACTGAATTTGTACCGCAGTGGAGGATGGCTGACTTGGTGCGTTTCCTCTCCTTTCATTTCAGTTTTTTTTTTATCCTACTTGTCATAAAAAAGAAAATAATGAAATCTACACTATTTAAAGATTAATTACTGATTATGCAAAAATTGATCATATTACTGCATGTTCAATGTATATCATGTAAGTTCAAAATCAAGATCATATTGTAATTATTTTACTATTTAGTTCTAGATTTATTATCTATCCTTAATCAAGATGAAAAACAAAATTCTACATGTATTCTGTATACACTAATATATGTAAAGACAGAGAAATGACGTAATATAACAAAGCTATAATATTTCATTAGATTTAATTTGTAACAAAAAAAATACATTCTAAACGGCTCCAATCTGACCCTATAGAATATCTTTCATACAATGAATGTGTAACATACTAGTTAATACTAATAACCCCAAAAAGATGTTTCCTATTCTAACTCGAATTGAGAAATAGCTGTTACAATGAAAGTCAATTGTTTCTAATAAAACAAATATTTTGATTTTTTTTATTATATATAGACAATGGATGTTTAATCCTAGCACCCAATGCTGAAACGTTTTTAATTGATCTGAGTCTTCACCCACTACAAACCTAAAAATAAATTTTGTTGTGAGATTAATGTTTATTCCAAAATTATCCAAATTTCTTATTCTGCTCACTTAAAGTATCACTTTTTCCTTTATGTAGAATAATTCGCCGAGACCTCTCCCCCTTGTATCATAAAAATGTTGACTCTTGTAATTGCATAAATTGTTCATGTTTACTGCGATTTTCTGCTCCCACTTGGAATATTTCTATGAACGCAAATGTTGTACTGGTAAGTCAATCTGTCAACAGGTCTAATAAAAGCAAAATAACAATTTTAGCGACATAAAATAAGTGCCCGATTCGATAGTTATCAATTTTCTTCAAATCAGCGTGGGCATCTTTTTCTCCCATCCAGCATCGATAACAAATTATAATAGCGTTCCCATGTCAGTAAGGTAAAAAAAATATTTTCCCCTAGTCTCTCGTTTCTGTTCTTCGCTTAGACTCACAAGGCAGACTCTACACGTTCTATACGTTCGATTAGAGCGCCATACAAACTCCATCCTGTCCAGACGTTTATTGATGTCTATACTTTCCCTCTTAAAGACCTTGATTCGATAGGGGAGTGCTTGTTTCATATTGTTCTATAGGGATCTCTACCAGAGGGTGCATATTGCGGATATACATTTCAAAAAATTCCGAAGGAGAGTTAGTTATTATAACTGAAAAAATCGTTCCATCCGGATTTTTTTTGGAAAGAAAGGGTATGTGTGCCTATAATTATATATTTTTTTCGTGTTAGGTAATATTTTATTTTAAAATATTTTCTTCCAAATAATATAAATTTCTCTATCTTCAGATTCCAAAATGATAATAATTGTTTACCTGTAATGATTTTAGTTCTTTGGGAAGTGATAATTAGGAAATTGGCTTAGCCCTAACAAAAATTTACTATAGTTAACTATAGTTTACTAAAGATTGCCATATATAACTATGGTAAAAACTTTGATGCTTTGATTTACTATGAAACTTTACTCCGGAACCCTTTTTTGAGATTTCAAAGCTTAAAATCTCCTAAATTCGGTAACAGTGATATAAAATTTGGAAATAATATGTAAATATACAAATAATAGTTGTATTTAATATAAAAAAAAATGTGCATGTATAAATTGAAGAACCAAAAATAAAATAATCTGAAATTCATAGTAAAAACACTTTGATTTACTATAGTAAAAAACTTTGATACTATAGTAAACTATTCAAATTAACTATGGTAAACTGTAGATATTTATTGTAGTATTTTTTTTTTTTTTTTGTTATGAAGGCTTACACTTTACTGTTGTAGTGATGTAACATCAGGAACATATCTTTGCTATTTTGTTTTCATTCTTTTATGTGTGTCTTTTTTTTTAAAGGTTTGAAGTTTTTTTGGTGCTTTGATCGTGTTCTTTCTTTTACCCTATTTTATTGTATGTTATTTGTTTATAACCGTATATACATGTATGTAAATTCACAAATGTCAATACATATCTCTTGATATAAAACGCTACCTCTGAAGAATATCACATGAACTGATGTAAATACGTCACATAATGCAAAATATTTGGATTTAATTTATTTGATTTTATTTAGGAAATATCTTTTTATCATAAGCAGTACGCATCTTTATGAAGTAATAATTTTAAGCACAGCATTTGATAATTTGAAGAGAATCTGAATACACTGAGCATGCGCGATCAAAATGAAAAAGAATGAGGTCGCCATTTTTTAATGAGTTCTTGCATTAGTTGATGATGCCATTCATCTGCATCATCGCCATCAGATAGTCTTACTGATGACAAGCACTTCATTATTGGATAATTCGAAAGCATTGAACATCTTTCTTGTTCTGACATGCAGTGAGACATTGGTTTTTTACAAGCCATAGATTGTTTCATGTAGTAATTGATCAGTTTATCTTACCTTGAAATTGATAAGATGTTCCCTTGTTAATAAGTAATCATTATAGCTAAATACATATTCTTATTCAAAGTATCTTGCTGAGTGTTAACGAATACATGGCCGTAGGAACAGGGGGGGGGGCACGGGAGGGCGATATATAGAATACTATTTTTTTTTTCTCTCTCTCTTTTTTTTGCTTGTTAAGGAATTTTTGGTAGTTGATAGTGCCCCTCCAACTGAAAATGTATGGTTGTGCCCCCCCCCCCCAACTGAAATTGCTTCCTACGGGCCTGGAATATAAGAGTCGCCCGTGTGGCGCAGTGGTTAGAGCGTTTGCTCTAGAGTCTCGGAGTAAGGGATTGATCCTTGCGTTGCGGGTCCGAATCCACAGTGTAAATGGAGACCGTTTTTTCGGATGAGACCGTGTATAAACCGAGGTCCCATGTCGCAGTAGTTGTTGGCACGATAAAGACCCTCACTGCTCAACGGCCGTAAATGCTGAGTACAGGTCTAAATTTGCAGCCCTCCACCGGCAAGTGGTCTCAATATGAATGAAAAATTCTCAAAGGGACTTTAACTGAGCAAACAAACAAATGAATACAAGATGAGAGAATGGCATTTTTAAAGCAATATATTTATTAATGTAGATATTAATATAAAAAATGACATTTTTATGGAATATTTTATTGTAAATTGGATGAAAGTCAATCATAACTTTTCCATTCACCTGGTTGTAACATACCTACCTGACGAACAGAAAACGGGGAGTATTTGGAATCTTATTTAGCACATCCAAATGTATTGTATTTTTAAAAGATCCGATGAAAACCTCTAAAACCCTATGAAAGTGAAAAAAGAATGGAGCTGAAAATATCTTAGATTTTCATGTAAATGTACTTTGTGAATTCCAAAACGTCCTTCGTGGTGTTGTGATCGCTCACCGTTCCTAGAACTGTTATAAATCTTTTTTTTTCAGTTACCATAAGCTTTCACACGTATATCTGTCACATGTTAAACATTCCATGTGTTTTGTTTGTTTTACAGTTATTAAGTATCAAAAAATATGTGTAGGCGTGCCATTTCTCAAAATTTGACCCCCATATTTATACCCCAAAACAACATAACAGTAATCTTCTCAAATTCTGTCAATGGCTAGGGATAATTTGTCACGCAATTCAAGCCACTGGGAGAGTCTTTGTATGGAATTGCTAATAGGCTGCTGACTGTAAAATCGTGTTCTCTAAATATATGTACATGCTGTATTATTGAAGTTGGAGGTTTTATTTGAGACCGTCACGGAAGTCTCTCTACAATATCTATACAGGCCTACCTTGTATGACACTACTATACACGAAAGGATTATAAAGGCTGCGTATAAAGGTGTTTGTCGAAATGTCTTCATAGTTTAGTTTTCTCCTGCTCCACCCATAATAGAAATCATGTATTGATATTGCAAGAAGCTCATTCAGCACAAGATATATCGTTCCATGATTTAAGATTTTGGAGAAAATTTATATCATATTTTTAAATTTTAATTATCGCTTGAAATTTACAAGTGTCAATATACATTAAATACTAGTAGGTTAAGAATCCACGTTTGCAAAATGCAAGACAATAGTACGCATTCTAAATTTTTATTTGATTTTTTTTTTACTTTCTATTGAATTTTTTTTGAAAAGATATTAATTTTATTTAAATCTGAAAGTTTTTTTTTTGTTAAACCTATTACACTTTATCATTAGACATAATGGTTTGAACATCATTTTGTTTAAATTTGTTTCTGGTTTTGGTTTTGTTTATAATGTAGGAGGTAAACATGAGGCACACACACACACACACACATGTATATATATATATATATATATATATATATATATATATATATATATATATATATATATATATATATATATATATATATATAAATTAATAAATTTTGCAAATAAACTCCGAAACGGGTGCACCAGCGTTCTTACTTACTCCTCTAAGAATACACTAGATACAAGATGATGTCCGTAAACTATATTTAGATTTCACTTGCATAGTAAGTATCGTACATTAAATTAAAAGTCTACTTTCATTTTTCATAAACAGCCAAGAAAAAGCAAAAACGTGAGTACGGTGGCGATTCCGGTTGGCGGTTCTAAGTTACTGGCGATTTTTAATGAAACTGACAACAAACAATCGTTTACTTATTTTTAATATTTTTTATTCATATTTCATAAAACGTAATCACCGAATTATTTAATCAAAACTTGATTTAAATGACATAAAAGAAATAATTATAAGTTGTGATAACCGATTAAAAAGGGAAATGTGCAAATTATTTTCTTCATTCACCGATCTTTATATTGACAGAAGCTTCTAGAACATCATATAGCATCGAGCCCGATGTTAAAAAGAAAAACGAGGTGAACATAAAAAAAAAGCTTTTGTGTGAATGGTCATTGAAATAATGGCAAATCATTGACAACACTATAAGTTGTGAACATATTTATGTATTGAAAGACTATTAGTAGGTTTTTCCTAATAAATTTATCGGTAAAATTTGTATATATTCCTCACTGAGCATCGTGGCAACGAACCCGGAGTACAATTTGTGCTTCGTAATAAACTTGCTTACATGAAAAGAGAAAATTAATGAATAAGGTACGATGTATTGCTGTAAAATTTTGTGCTTTAATCAAAACATTTCAGTTTTTTTCTGAATATAGTGTTTTGTATCAAATACTCGGCCTATTCATAGGGCATTAAAAGCTAACCCCCCCCCCAATCCAATTTATCAGTAAAATGTACATATTCGCTGCTTTTATCCTTAACAGAAATGAAATAGAGCACCTGACGTACAATATCCATAACATAGCATGGATATGGTTTCACAATAAACGTCAATTAATGAAATCGTCATTTTTCAAGTTTTTACAAAAAAGTGGTGGGAGGGGGGTGGAGACGGAAACGTACATCTACTTCATCTGGGATTTTTAACAAAGTATTTCTTCCTGCTATAAGTCTGTAGGCTGACAGTAGAAACTACAATATATATTATTGGAATTTTTTGGTCCGTTGTGGTATAAATTCAATTCCCCGCGCTTGCGCGGGATTTCATCTAGTATATATATAAAGTAGTTGCTTTCTACTACATTTAGTGTTGTTATCATTGGTTTATTGAAGACAGCAAATCAGTCTCCGGGCATGGAAGATCAAATAGAGAACTATTTAATTAATCAGGGCTTCTTTTTTTAAATCCCTTTTAGGACAATTCTTCTAACTAATGCCTCTAGAGAGAACTCTCATTAAGGGTTCTGTTTCAAAATATAGAAAACCTGATCAAGCTAATTCACTTGCATAAACGAAGAAAATGAAAAGTTCACATCCCATTCTGCATGTTGTAATTATCTTGTACTTATTTTTGATCTAATATCGTGTCTCGCGGGAAGAGAAAATTCTAATTCAATTTTCTTTATACAGACAAATTGGACAATTTAAGAGAGTCTATATAGAGAAAACTTGATTTTTGTTAGTATGCATTATTGACCTTGAGGCAAGAGCTATAAGCGGAATGGATTGGAATAAAGTGGTATGCAACCGATTTTTGTGGGATTTATGAGACGTCAAAATCATTTGTTCGCGGAAAAGAGAAAAACTATAAACCAAGTTAAGGGTATGAATATCTTAATTGGTACAGGATTTGTTCAGGAATCAATACCTAGTTAATTTTTTTTCTTCTACGATTGACTTATTTCATCTTTATTTCCTCAGCATATTTATTTTCAGATGTTGACATGTATATCAAGCATGCAATGTGTTTATTCCACAATTTTCAAATATACATGTATACGTTATTACATAACATGCATAATCAATTAAGATGTCCTATCAACAAATGATGTATTATTAAAAACATAATGGCGTGTCAAAACTCACCGCCCTGCAAAAAAAAAAGATAAATGGTGAAATTGCATGCAAAATAGTGATGACATTAGACAGGAACCAGTCCAAAGTTGGACATGTTCCTAAATTTGATTGCCACTATTCAAGATTAATCTGATCTGTTGCATATGTATCAGATATTCCATGATTTGACGAATCTTCTTGTAGATTTCGCATTGCATTGTTTCATTTACCCCTTTTAGGACTAAGGTTTCGATTAGTATTCAAATTTTTTCCGGAAACCTTGAAATTAGTGTCTTGTATTCAGTCTACATTTTACAAAGAGAAAATTTGACAGGAATTGACGTTCGTTGATATGGTATTGATATGGATCCTCTACTTTGATGAACAACTCGGCATACAATTTCATCTTTTGTGTAATTTATATTTTTATCTGTTCATATAAGCATAGGAAAATAATAACAGATTTTTCGTAACTTTTATCATAAACCAGGATTAAATTATTCCTGGTATCTGTAAGATAAAATCCATTCCAATTCAGGCAACATTGATCATGTATCTGTAACATAAATCTCTTCCAATCTAGGCTACATTGATGCATCTGTAACATAAAATTCCATTCCAATCCAGACAACGTTGATGTATCTATAACGTAAAATCCATTCCAATCCAGATAACGTTGATGTATCTGTAACATAAAATCCATTCCAATCTAGGTAACGTTGATGTATCTGTAACATAAAATCCATTCAAATCCAGACAACGTTGACATACGATAAAAACAAAACCCATTTCAATCCAGACAACATTAACCATTTTCAACATTATTTTCTTCTAGTAACGACTCATTTAATTCCAGTTTTTAACAATGGTTTGCTTTAAGTTTTCTTTCATTCACTTCAAATCATTCTTGAAGACTTTTTAATGATGAAGATGACGACGAAGATGATGATTTAAATGTTTTTGTACCAAAGAATAAACCTTTCTTTTGCACATAACTTTTTAAAAATGTATTCTACTTTTGAACTTTTGAAATGCTTCATATTCTAATTAAGCATTGGGCATTAGTGTTTCTGTTTCAAAAACAAATTGAAGTGAAAAGATATCAAAAATTATTCTATTCGTTGATATGAAATCAATAACAAGTAATTTTTCTTCATCGATTTGCTTTATCTCTGTTGGGTTTCCTTGGCATATCGATTTGGTTTGTTCACGTACATAAAAAACACAAGCACTCATTTCCATACATTGTTATATAATTATATGTAAATAGTTAAGGAGTTTGTCATTGCTTTGGAGTATATTGTTTGCATGTCAATTCTCATCGCCCTGGATGCAGGTAAGAAATGTGTGTGTGTCTGGAAGGGGGAGGGGGAGGCTGAGATGCAGGTAAGAAATGTGTGTGTGTGGAAAGGAAGGCTGAGATGCAGGTAAGAAATGTGTGTGTGTAGAAAGGAAGGCTGAGATGCAGGTAAGAAATGTATGTGTGTAAGAATGTAAGAAATGTGTGTGTGTGGAAAGGGAGGCTGAGATGCATGTAAGAAATGTGTGTGTGTAAGAATGTAAGAAATGTGTGTGTATGTGTGGAAAGGGGGGCTGAGATGCAGGTAAGAAATGTGTGTGTGTATGGAAAGGGGGGATGAGATGCAGGCAAATGTGTATGTGGAAAGGGGGGGGGCTGAGATGCAGGTAAGAAATTTGTGCGTGTGTGTGTATGGAAAAGGGGGGTGGGGCTGAGATGCAGGTAAGAAATGTGTGTGTGGAAAGGGGGTGGCTAATGAAAGTAATTAGAAACCCATAATGTACAAAGTAACGTTTCTTTCTCAAATGAATTTCCAAATACAGATAGTTTAATGTCTTTATGTTACAAATGTGCATGTACACTGTACTTTGAGATATCATCACTTTGAAGACTTGATAATTTATCCAATTTGTTTATATCAACAATAAAATTACAAATTACAATTAAAAGACAAAGAAACCGAAAGTATCAATTCATTTAAGAAAGAAACGGATAAGTAAGTTATGTAGTCATGTAGACCCCCCCCCCCCCCAAATCTTTATTCTGTCTCTTACCCTTTATGCATCATCATCAACCGAAGGTTAGAATAAAAATGTTGTGAATTAGTGTCTGCGTAAATCTGGTTTTCGAGAATGTACTCCGCATTTTATCTTATTTCGCAAAGTCACTAGTATTTTTTTTCTATTAAAAGTAAACCACAACAATCTGTTAAAGGCAATTTTATTGACTATGAATCAATTAGGGACAAAACACCGGTGCAAATTAGGAAGGTAATATAATGGCAGTGTAATTGCGTAAAATGTTAACAGCCTTCCAAAGATGAGACAAACGCAATGATACGATTCATCTTGAAACCTCATCGATATTGAGTTAAGGTTGGGGATTTTCTTTGTAGAAATAGCTGCAGAGCTATAAATCCAAATTTTAGTATTTATTCTTTTCAATTTTTATTATTATGTACATGTGCAAATAACTGACAAAATACGACTTCCCTGTAACCATTTATTTTTTATCATGTTTTGCGTGTGTTCGATAAACACGTATTGTAATAATTCTTTGCATACAAATGTATCTAGAGGTAAGAACATTAGATATTCCAACGTAAAAAAAAAATAATAAAATTATCGTTTGAAGAAAATCATTAAAATTGAAAAAATATATTAAATCATTTTTCTTCTAAATTTTTAAATCGGAAAATCAATATGTAACGACAAAAATTTATTTTCATATCAATCGCTCCATTAATTTTCTGTCACCCTGATAGCATTTTCATCCCAAAATATACCCTTTTAATGCTTTGCAAATTTTTACCTTCATTTCGTCTATATTGATTTCCTGTAACGTTAAATTTGGATTGAAAATAGTTGCTATGACAACAACATTTACTTCTCAATCAGAATAATAGCAACAGCTCATATTTTTTTTTAAATTAATAACTTCAACTTGTAGAAAGAAAATTTAGAACAAAACTTTAGTGGAAAAAAAATTTCAATTTCCTTCACTTTCTATATTTCTTTTGATATCTTTGAGTTCGTCTTTAACAAGTGCTACTTGTAAAAAAGAAAACCTATGTTTTGATTTTAAACTTTATTGCCGACCAACGACCATACATGTAGATATGCAATGTTACAGAAACTGTTATGTTATGTTATAATTTTGTGCAAGTCACAGTGCTATGAGTATATTACATTATTCAATCTGCTAAAGCATGCCATTGTCCTATCGCACTTTTACGTATCAAAAAAAATTGACTACAGTTATGAAATGGCAAAATGAAAATGAAAAAAAATCATAGGAAATTCATACTTGTGTGTTCCAAGCTTAAGGACTCTCCAGATTAGAAGTAAACATAAAAAGCAACATCTTAGCATCTTCCTGGGAAGACATCTCAGTTTTTTTTAAGAAGTTCAACTTTTAGGAAAGCAATGACATTAAGGAAACTTAATGTTGCATAATAATCCGGAAAATATTGAAGTTGGTCCATTATCAGCAATTAAAATTTGTGGGTGAAAATCAGATGAAAATGCTAGAAGTTATTAAGCAAACGTCATTAGATCGTTTAAAGCTTCCACGTTTTAAAATCAATATGTTGTTTATCATAAAACATACATAAAACACGTATTCCTTTCTTGCAGAGATGCGGACATTCAGGATGAACAGAGCAGAACGTAACAAAACCTGTAGGAGTGCCATTTCATTGCCCCAGTGAGAATTTTATGGAATCGGTTTTATGTTCATGTGGATGTCAAATCAAGCCCTACATGGTTTTCAACGACACAGATGTCGTTTTGGGAAGTGCAACAAATTGGTCGACAACCACAGGGAAGAGTGCAAGGGCAAGCAGTTTCCATGCAAATGCAGAAACAATTGTCCTTGGTGTATTTCTGTTCCTCCTAATATTTCTAACCATTTTAGGCAATTCGCTGGTTCTGTTAGCTATGATTGTGAAAAAGAAACTACGAACTGTTTCTAATATGTTCATAGTGTCGCTGAGTTTTACCGACTTTCTATTGGGATCTATCGTAATGATACCATCTGCACTGCAGATAATATTTCAAGAGTGGATTTTTCAACACGAATTTTGTTCCGTATGGGTATCATTTGACGTAATGTTATCCAGCGCTTCTGTTTTAAATGTTTGTCTTATCAGCATAGACAGATATATCTCCATTTTAACCCCTCTCAGATACAAAACAGTGATGACATTCCAGAAAGCTTTCTTAATGCTGATAATTGCGTGGAGCATAGCAATTCTTTCATCTTTCGTTCCAATTATGAATGGCTTTCACAATCCTGATGTCCCCTCCTTAAAGAATTTAACTCTATTTTCCAGCACTCCGCAGTGTTTGTTCATTATAAGTGGTATATATGGCGCAATCGCCACACCAGTAACGATTTTGTGTCCAATTATCATAGCTATTGTACTCTATTACCGTGTTTCAAAGGAAGCAAAACGACAAGCATTTTTCGTGGGTACTCTTCTTACTCCAGGAAATGTTCTTCTAAGACAGCATGTTCCAGCAAAACACTTAAGGGAACCTCTAACCCGAAAGGCTACAGTGACGCTGGGGACAATCGTCGGTGCTTACGTTACAACATGGTCCCCTTTTCTGTGTGCCAATATCGTAGAGGGATTCTGTCAATGTATTCCTGGAAAACTGTTTACGTCCTTTGTATGGTTGGGATATTGTAACAGCTTAATCAACCCAATTATTTATCCTTTATTTATGAAAGATTTCAGGAAAGTGTATGTTTTAGCCCTGTCAAAATGTTGTCCTTTCCTTCATAAAATAAAACATTTTAGAATAGAGCATACATTATATGAGGGAATTCGACACCCAACGCATTAAAATAACTTTTTATCACCAACGAAGTGATATGCTATTCACAATTGTAATATGTTTATAATTTGTTGTTAAAACTTTTTGTTTCACCCCAAAATGAATAAATATTTAAAATATTACAATATTTGGCTTTATTTACATTTTGAACTTTCTTGAAATGATATTTTATATACAAGTGAAATGAATAGTTATCTTAAATGTCAGAAATCTTGTTCAATGGACTTTGTATTCATCCGGCTAAATTTTACATCAATTTCTTTCTTACATTTTGCTGAAAATTTCATTTAAAACATAAAGCTCTCTAGGAAAAGCAATCGTGGTCAACAAGATTGGAAATTGTATGGAAATTTTTAAGCTGTGAATAAGCTTTTCTGTGCAAAGTGCGTGTAATAAGATCATGTAAGATTGGAGAAACTTTTGAATTTATTTCACGCGTGCTATTTTAGGACATTATAATTCCCTGATATTGAAATATCCCCTATTTGTTATTTGTGTTATGAAAGTTTGTTGTTTTACTTTAATTAAGTTAACTAATATTCAAAAGAATTACTTAGTAATTGAATTCATTTTTATACTTTAAGAAACAATACACAATCATGCGATAATCTTTGCCAAATAAGTATTCCAGAAACATATATAAAGGTATAGTTGAAAAAGTAATACTAAACGGAATGCTTTAGAAAAAAAGTAATACCAAACGGAAAATAGAGGTGGTTGCAATAAATCTCAATGCTGAAGTCTCTTTTTGGGGGAGGGGGGAAGCAATTATGCCAATAGCCTCCATTTTTCCATTCGTTATAAATCAAAAGGTAAATTTTGGTAAAACTTAACAATTGTCTAAGTGCAGTAAATTTCTTTCCCCCCAAAGGAAATTTTTTAAGATTTTTTATTTTAATCATTATTCTGCAATTTGTTGCTGGACGAAAATTGATTTTATAAGTATGCTGTTCTGTTTCGTAATGTTGACATAAATGTAAAGATTAGATAGTCGTTACCTTAACTAAATATAACTCTAAAAAATTAGAAATTTTAACTGTTTTTTTTTTTTTGGTTTAAAATCACAAAGGACACAATTTTGAGAACAACATAGATATTTCTTTTATAGAAGTTTGCCTTAAGATACCAAAGGTAACATTTTCATGAAATGTACGGAGATAACGAACAGTATTCAAGCTCAAAAGTCCATTAAACAATGCAAATTTTGGAGCAGAGCAAACACGGACCTCTAAAACATCAGAGGTGAGAGCAGGTGCCATGGAGGAGTGAGCATCCCCTGCCGACCGGTCACACCTGCCGTGTGGTCCTTGTCATGATCGGGTAATAACGGAAAAATCCGTCGACAATTCAGTGTGTAAATAATGGCCTAACAATTAGTATGAAAAACGCCAGTCATCATTTGACTTGATGATAAATTGTATTTGCTGACAAGGTCATTGTATCGACCACAGAACTTAAGAAATTACGACTTTAAACGAGACTGCTGATATTCTTGTGTCATCAACTTGTTTGTGAATAACTTACCTCGTTTTAGAAAGAGGTAAGAACGAGGTAGAACATTTAATAAATATGATTGTTTCTGAAGCATTGTCAATCTCAACTCCTCTAAAAATCAGATTTCGCAGAATCTATTTCAGATTTTATGATTTTCTGTAAGAAAAATTCTGTTATTAGCAATTGCTTAAGAGAGTACTCGCCGTCTGTTTTTTTTAATTTATTTATTTATTTGGTTTTTTTTAAAATAATAAGCGAGGTGGGAGATGAAAACCTGGTTACAATGAAGCTTTCTAAGTCTTTTATAATGATATTTTTCTAAGAAATAGTTCTTAACAAAACACGTCAAATGAATTTTAAACTTGTATCCTTTATATTCATACTATTATGGATTCAGAAGTTAGTTGTTTTGTTTAATCGATTTTGTTAATCTCTCTTGTTGTTATGTTTTTTTTCCTTTATGTATTGATTTTGTTGTCAACAAGTCGAGGAAAAAAAACACGCAAGTTTCAGATTTCCCTATGATTATGTAACAAATGCAAATGTCAGATATATTAAGTGCATCCGGACTTGTTTATTTTTACCGTCCTTCAGGTAAGAAATTGGGAAAATGCATCTCCACTGATGACAGTGTAGAAACAATTTAAAAGATTAAAAACATATGCATGACGGGCGAATATAGAATGATGCTAGCTGAATAAAATGCCAGCATTCAAGTTTAAGGCTCCTCATATAGAATGATCTTTTTTCGAAAATACATGTGCATTTCTTAAGAAAAAATAAACTAGCATCTGCGATCTTAAACAGGGGACCAAAGATCCCTATACTTGCCTTGAATTAAACCCATGCATAGGCCCCTATTTTTAGCAAATTGCTTGCTGTCCCATCAAATATTGATACTTTTCTAGATTAATTTCTACGACTGAACGTACTTTTTAGAAAGTGCCGATTCATCATCCTCAATCTGTGTGAGAGATATCTGTTTCTAAAATCTATGACAGTATCTTCAGTTTCATATATATTTTAATATCTATTAAGTAAATTGCACTTGTATAATGAAATGTTGTGAAAAGTTCTATTGAATACAAATCCATAAAAACTCTAACAACGACGCAAAAACAAATCCGATGTTGTTTCGTATATTGATGGCATGAAGGATATTAGCTTTTCAAATGAAATAAACACTCCAATTTTCAGTCCGTGTCTGTTTCAATGCATTTTTTGTCATTCTGACTAAATGATATGGTAATAATGGAAATCTTCATCAATGAGGGAAGTATGAAAGCAAATTTCTGCATCCTCATTAGTTGTATTAACATCTTCCTTGAAGCTACAATTAGGTTTTTAGGAGTTTCACCTTTCGAGGAGTAACTTCAAATATATTTTGGTTTGTTAAAATGGCAATAATTGCTGATGATACATTATGAACAATCGTCATTTAAATGCATTCAATAAAACATTTGATGAAGGCGAGAGAGGTTACGGTAATAGAACACACATCATAAAATTTTTCATAAAGCACAAAAAATTATCTTTGAGAACAGATGGAAATAGATCATGAACTAACCAGAAGCTTCAACGCTTTGTCATTTCCACACTGAGAGATTTTAGGGTTGTAAGTAGTTTTTTTTTTAACAATTCTGCAGAATGAGAAAATTGTAGGTAATAAACAACCAAGGGTTATTTTGTATGAAACGTTTAATAATATTAGAAATCATGGAATGAAAGAAAGAAGTCCGAGTTTTAATATATCATATATTTCACATCTCCCCCTTCCCTTCTAAGGAATGTGTGCTTTATGTCAAAATCTGATTATTTCGATGTAGTGCATGCATAAGATTATGTACATGTACTTCTATCTTAGAACACTGATTAAGCGAAACTTGATAAACATTTTGTCAACAGTCCATTTAAAGAATACAAATTATGAGCAGAGCCAAATGGAAAATAGTTTTTTCCCCCTAACCAGTTTTCCTCCCGAAATCTCCACTCTAGAGTAGGACTTCCCCACGAGAACACTTGAACCAAATTTCCCCCTTTCTTTCTCAGAGTAAGATTTCAAGTATTTTATCAATGCTAAAGTCATATTGACAATATTTTGGCATAAAGTCTTTGAAAGTCATCTGATAAATAAATAGAAATATAAATCTTTTCGCCTCAAGTATCGTTTGAATTTAGTAGGTAAATCAAAAGATTTTTAAAAATATGAGTATAGCGAAAATTTGACAAACTAAACTGCACTGTAAAGCAAGAGTCCACAATATGAGTAGACTTTCCCTTCTTAAATCTTCCTCCCCAGAAAACTGGCTTTTGAGTAGGTTTTCCCCCACAGAAAAATGACTCTAGAGTAGGATTTCCCCTACGGAAATTCCACACCAGATTCCATTTTCCTGGGGGAAATCCTACTCTGTATAATAGTTATAGAGTGCAATTTCCACCCAAATAAAATATCAAGCCTGTACTTAAATATGAGGGGGAGGGGAGCGACACCTTGTTACAAGTGTCTCTGCTATATTTCCAACAGGTGCTCTCGCAGTCGACAATCTTCATAAAACTTCTCAAAATCCATTGTGCACTCCACATTTAAAATTTAAAAAATGGCGACCAGTTCCATTGAAACATATGAAAACTGAAAAATTAAAATATCATTTTTGTTTTCATTGACTGCACAACCAATTCGTTTGAAGCATTAAAATCTAATTCTTTTCATCTGGGCAAATTGGTTTCTGAAAAATAAAATGGTACAGTGTAACCGGTTGGACAACTTTCTAACTATAGCCATTGAATCAAAAAGGAAGAATTCTGTTTTAAATGGATTTTTTCTCCAATTGTTTTTCAAACTACAAGTACATAAATATGCTTAAACGTCCAAAATAGCTGCAGTTGCTATGGAACCAAAAATGGGTAAACTTCTAAAAGTTCGAAATTTTGCACAACTTTAAGAGAGTATATGCTCTCTGTTTTCAAATCAAATATTACATCGCTAGGATCGAGGGGACATGCTACGGATTGCAAAATTAATGTTTCTGGTATTCTTTTTTCTTTCTTTTTTTCTTTTTTTTTCCCTTTGAAGAGCTTCTCGATACTCACAAAATTGTATGTTGAACCTATCAATAATATACGTTTTAGAATTTTCTCACACACTATTTGTAAAAGGTAACGACCTATAGATAAAATACTGGGCCGGTACAGGTCAAAGAAATTAAATCCCTAAAGGTGATCTGATATGCATTTAAAAATTCCTGAACAACAGGTACTGCTGCACCAAAAGAGGTGTTGAGGCATCGAGTCTTACGATTTTTTCAATGAGTAATTTTACAATTTCCTATTCAATTTAGTTAAAATTTTTGATTCATTCTCAATGATTTGAATATAGTGGTACTGAGTAGTTTATGGGTACATGATCTCCATTAAATTTGGAAAACTGTGTAATATTGATTATAACGGATTTAGAACTTGAAACGATCGCAATAAATTGGTATCATCTTAAAACTAGTAAAAAGTTACAATAAATCTCTCATAAGTTTAGCATAACCAATGGTTAAAAAACTTCAAAGTCTAAAAAACATCAAAAGAAATGTACATAGGTACATCCCTTGACCTCTAACCGTCTTACCTTGATATT